CAAAAGAAGCATAACTATAAAGTAGCTGGTGACCAAAAAGGGAAAACCAAGATGGATGGGAGTAGTAAATCTATAGCAAACAACCATTTTCCTCCTTGTTCTACTTGCAAAATAATACAAATCACTTATCAAACGATTTTTGGTATAAGGGGAAGCCTCAAATCCAAGTAAAATTTTCAAGAAGTGGGGACATAGAGAGAGGTATTTCAGATTCAGGCAGAACCAATCTCAACCACAACATTCACATCAAGTTAACTTCACCGATCAGCAACTCCAAGATGAAGAAAACTTGTTTATGGCTACTCAAACAAGTAGTTCAGGTTCAAATGTTGTATGGTATGTTGATAGTGGGTGCACAAACCACATGGCGAGGGACTCAAGTCTCTTTACAGCTTTGGATAGGACTGTCCAAACCAAAGTTAAGCTTGGAATTGGAGATATTGTACAAGCTGAAGGAAGAGGTACAATTTCTGTTCACACTAGCAAAGGTCCTAAATTTATTCATGATGTTTTATTTATTCCTGATTTGGATCAGAATTTGCTAAGTGTTGCTCAACTAATGAAGAAAGGATATTCTCTTTCATTTAAAAACAATGACTGTATCATATTGGATTCAAATGATTATGAAGTTATTAAGGTTGAAATGTGTGATAATAGCTTTCCAATCAGTTAGAATCAAGTGAATGAATCAACTCTTGTTTCCAAACATGATGATTATGTTCTATGGCAAAAAATATATGGTCATTTTAATATGGGTGCATTGAAATTTTTGCAAACTCATGATATGGTTAAAGACATGCCTACGATGGGTATTATTGATGATTTATGTGATGCTTGTCAATTTGAAAAATGCATAGAAAGTCTTTTTCATCAACAAATGTCACATGAGCAAAGGAAAAATTGGAGCTTATTCACATGATTTGTGTGGTCCAATGAGTGTTCCTTCTCTTAGCCAAAACAAATATTTTCTTCTGTTTATTGATGATTTGACAAGAATGACATGGGTGTATTTTTTATCAAGTAAAGCTCAAACTTTTAATGTCTTTAAAAAGTTTAGAGCCATGGTGGAGTCTCAAAGTGGTTGCAAAATTAAAATGTCGAGATCTGACAATGGGAAGGAGTATACATCAAATGAGTTTAATGTATTTTGTGAAGATATGGGCATTGTTCATCAATTGATAGTAAGTCATACTCCTGAGCAAAATGAAGTTTCTGAGAGAAAAAATAGAACAGTTTTGGAGATGGCAAGATGCTTAATTACAAGAAATTGCTTAATGTTTTTGGGCTAAAGTTGTTTATACAGCCATGTATCTTTGAATAGGCTACTAACAAGAGCTGTTCAAGAGAAAACACCAATTGAAGCTTAGAGTGGAGTGAAGCCCACTACAAAACACCTGAAGATTTTTGGATCTATTTGCTATACTCATGTTGCAGCAGCAAAAAGATCCAAAGTAGATGACAAAGCTGAAATGGGGATTTTCTTAGGCTATTCTGCAAACTCCAAAGGTTACCGGGTGTACAATATGAGGTCAAAAAAAATTATGATCAGTAGTGATATTCAAATTGATGAGAATGCATACTGGAATTGGGAAAATAATGAAGTTCAAAGAAGCACAAAAACATAACAGTTGACAACCACTTCTGACTAGGAGCATGCTGCAAATGAGAATAAAAATCAGATTGCTGAATCTGATTCTCTTGTGCTAAAATCCAAGTCTTTGGCTGAAATTTATGAAAAATGCAATTATTTTTGTAAGTGAGCCTTCTTGTTTTGAAGAGGCTTCAATGCACGAAGAATGGAAAGATGCAATGAAGGAGGAGCTGACCATGATTAACAAAAATGACACTTGGGAACTTACTTTCAAAGCCCAAGGAAAAACATGTGATTGGCGTCAAATGGGTTTATAGAACAAAATTAAATCTGGATGGTTCCATCCACAAGCACAAAGCAAGGCTTGTTGTGAAGGGGTATTCTCAAATGGTTGGAGTTGATTATGGAGATACATTTGTGCTAGTTGCTAGGCATGAAAAAATTAGATTAATTGTTGCATTAGCGGCTAAATATGGATGGAAAATCTTTCACTTGGATGTTAAATATGCTTTTTTAAATGGAGTATTACAAGAAGAAATATATGTTGATCAACCTGATGGTTTTATTGTTGCAGGTCAGGAAGAAAAAGTTTATAGGCTTCATAAAGCCTTGTATGGGCTGAATAGGCTCCAAGAGCTTAGTACAATAGAATTGATTCTCATTTTTTGCAAAATGATTTCAGGAGGAGCCAAACTGAGCCTACACTTTATGTGAAAGATTGTGGCAATGGAAAGAAATTGTGGTTTCACTTTATGTTGATGATTTGTTGATTACAGGTGATGATGTTGATGAAATTGAAGCGTTTAAAAACAACATGTTGCAAGTTTTTGAAATGACAGATCTTGGAATGATGAGGTATTTTTTGGGGATGGAAGTCCATCAGATTGATGATGGAATTTTTGTCTCACAGAAAAAGTATGCAAATGACTTGCTGAAAAAAATTCAAATTGGAGAATTGTAATCCTGTTTCAACTCCACTTGTTGTCAATGAAAAGCTCTCCAAGGATGATGGTGATGCAAAGGTAGATGTGACTCAATATAAAAGATTGGTTGGTAGTCTTCTTTATTTGACTACAACCAGGCAGTCCAGAATAGAAATTCAAATTATATTTCAAAATTGAATGACAAAAAGAAAATAATATATAAATCTTAAAAGCATAAATTATGACAATGTAAATCCTATTATCCTAAAAAAGCTATAAAACATATGTTTGTCAATGCTATCTAACTAACTAACTATCAAACTATAAACATAATATAACTAACTAAACTTAGAAATCTAACTATTATATACTTTGAAGAAAAAAAGTTGCCCATTATTCTCTTATCTTGATGATCTCATCTTCGGGCAATGGAGATGGATCTTGAAAGACTTGAAACATTAATTTAAGTGTCATTAATATGCAATGTTAATTATCGTAAAGGTAAATATACTTAAATAAATTTTGATATGAATTACCTGCGCCCAAGAATCAGTAATACTCGCAGAAATTATGGCTCTCATCCAATACATGATGTAATAACCACATTCAAACGAGTCTTGTTGCTTATTACACTAAAATGAGAAACAAATAACTATTATTTCCAAAGTCAATAAATTTAAATATTATTGACTGTATTAATTAATTTGCTAACCTTAGGGTATATAAAGTGCAATGTCTTTGATGATCTTCTTCTTCCACTTAAAATATTAGCTCCAGAAACGATTCTAATTAATTGAAATAAAAACCGATGTTAGCCAATATATATAATTACAGTTTTAAAAGATAATGAAAAATTTTAGTTACCCTTGTAATTGGCATTTAATTTCGTGACGGTTTTCGATGTAGTGAACAAAACCACACCAGGTGTATTCCTTAGGAATGATTACCATTAACTGCCAATGGGACCTACATTGTATGACAAACAAATTAGTTATAAAATTACCATGATTAAAAAACCAATTAAAAAACTAACCCGTCAATGTATGGAGTCATGTATATATCTCTTCCTGAGTCACTCATCCATGTTTGCATATATTACTAGATCTGGACCTGAGTGTTTCCTGATTTTTGGATGGATTGAGGCTCAATAAATCCATATACTTGTGCTTGTGCTTGCTCCACACTCAATTTGTCCATGTACCTAACACAAATAATTATTATAAGTTAAATTTAATTATTGTAAATTTAGACTCAAGAAAATATGACTTACATGGCGCACAGCTGTATGATAGATATATTTAACATGGAGTTTCCCCCAACAATCTCTAATGCATCAGGCAGGGATATGTATAGTGGAACATCAGAGCTATCAACTCCAAAAACTCTAATGTCCCACTACAATTGAATTGGTTTCTTCTTTAATCGTGGTAATATGGTTAGAAGCCTAGATATGGGATCATCCTCAGCTTCTGCGATATTAGCATGATCAACATGAGGTTCTCTCATGACCTCCTTACCACGATTGATAAAATCCTAAAGAAATAATCAAAATTAGTTAAACAATAATAGAATTATAAGAATATAAAAGAGTAATAATAGTATTACCTTTGCCCGTGCTGAAAGCGGCATGACCAAACGTTTTGGCCAAGCTAAGAATGTGCCGGTTGCCTGCCCCACTAGTTGAACCTCTGTATTGGGCAAAGGCACTAGAGCAGCACCATCTTGAACTTCGTCAACCACAACCCATGTCCAGTCCGGCTATAGAGGGACACCATGGATGGTTGAGCCACCCTCAAATACTCGGCCAATAGCCACTAACCGTGGGGGGTCATCCTCAACATATAACTCACACTGGTTTGGTACATCAGTGTGAGTCTATTCCACTAAGGGATCTGGAGCAGCACAACTTCCTTTCATGCTGACTTAAACACCATCATGAGCAACTACAGTCTGTTGCTGAGAACAAGCCAAAAGTTCAAACTTCTGTTCAAACTCTTCTCAAATATTCTTCAATTTCTCTTCAAATTACATCTCCATTCTCTGCATAGCCTCTTGACTACAAGAGTCAACAGTGCTTCTCGATGATTGTGCACCAAAGAAATCTCAGTGGCTCCAAGAACCACCAGCACCATGCACACGACCTGCGTGCTCTAGCCTTCTTATGGCCGTTGTGAGGATATCATCCCGACCATGGGAAACAAATGAGCCTTGGGTGGTCTGCTTAACTAAACCCTCCTGCATCATATTAACAATAAGTATACCCTAAACTACACTTATGAATTAAATGAGTTGAAATGAAGAGTCTTAGTTTGTATATTTTTACTTACTATTTTATCAGCAACGACCCTTGCAGACTCAGAAGTCATTTGCCCATCTGATTTTGTTCGGGCTGCTATCCACATCTCATGGCGGAGGTGACTCCACAGGGTCAACAGACTCAACCCCTGCTGCCTCTGCCCTAGCCTTCTTCATTTCCTTTTTTTTTTCTTTCATATCCCCCTCTTGACAATAGATGGGGTGCATCATTCTTGGCCTGTCGTTCTTGGGCAGCTATTCTTTTAGCCTGCAATAATACAAAAAAGAAAATGAGATAAATTAAAATATACCTTAAGTATTTGTGTCAATGTAAAAGTTATCGATAACTAACCTGCCACGAAGGGTCCAATCGAGTGGCACGAAATTGCATCCACTCCTCATCAGTGATCTGGTACTTTAGACAGGGAGTCTCATTTTGTCGCTCTCCAAATACATACTCCCGTGTCAAGAAAGTCTTGAAGTCTCTCAACCTGATGGCAAGGGCAGATAACATCTTCCTCCTCATGACCTCAGTGTTGAGAATGTCAAAATTTTGCTATGAAAATAAAAACAAATAATAAATAATGTATTTAAGTTATATAATATTAAAGGGATGTGAAAGTATATACCTGAATATCCTACCACATGAGGTTCTTGTTAGCCTCCTGAACATCATCCCATGATGGAATGATAATAGAAACATGTCGTCGAGCTAGGACTCCCAAATAGCTCTTAAACTTGGCAGCATTTGGGCCTGATGCCTTGCCAGAACGAGGATCCACCTCAACCGATGTCCTCTCCATGGCAATGCGTCCAGCTGTCAACCCATACAATCGGGTGACATATCTACCTTCCCTCCTTCCATTGCCAGACCCCGAATCCTCCATAATCCTGAAAAAATTAAACTCTCATTATAAAAATAATGAATTAAATATTTCTACTAATACGATGGTAAACTAAAGGTCAATGCCTAAAAAAGTCCATCTTTAATGCATCTGGAATAGCCCGTACTGAAACCAGAATGGGGCATTCCAGATCAACAATTTACAAAACAAAAAATTTAAGCAGAACGACCTGTTTTGCTTGTAGAACAACCCGTTCCAGATGAACAAATAACAGAAAATAAACAAAAAATTTGCGTAGAGAAGAAACTAACCTCAAACGTGTAATGTGCAGACTCTTAGAGACTTAGAAACGTGCAATGTGGAAACAAAGGCACTTAGAGACTTAGAGAATAAGAGAAGAAGTAATAGGTTTTGTAAACAATGGGACGCGCGGTAATGAGAAATGGAACGTTGGGCATTTTAGGGGGAAATTTATGTCGGACAAGGGGGTCTGACGTAAATTAGTGTCTCTATATTTACGAAACTGCCACCGCGTTTTTACAACATCCGCTTTTCCAGTTTTCGACGTAAATTAGGTGACGTAGTAGCCCTTTTTTGCATTAGTGAACAACGGGATATGTTTTTTCACTTGGTAGTGGAGTATTTTGTTGGAACTCTAAGAAGTAAGACGTGGTTTTTCAATCCTCTGTCGAGGCTGAATATGTAGCTGCAGCAGTAGCCTCAAATTAAGCTATATGGGTCAGAAAAGTCTTTACAGATTTGAGTCATGTGCAAATGGAACCTACTGTGCTATGGTTTGATAACAAGTCAGTCATTTCAATTGCTAAAAATCCAATTTAACATGGAAAAACAAAACATATCAATGCAAAATTTCATGCTATAAGGGAAGCTGAGAAGAATGGAGATGTTCAGTTGATGTATTGCAGGTCTGAGGAGCAATTGGCAGACATACTCACTAAGGCCCTTCCAAGTGCTAGGTTTAATGAGCTAAGAACCAAGTTGGGAGTCTTTAAGAAAATTTTTAAGTAGGAGTGTTAAAGCAGTAAAACTTTTCTGTTATTTTTTACTGCTATAATTAATTATGGTTGCTTGTATTAGTGAGTAAAGTTTTGCAATTATGTTTGCTTAGTCTAGTAGATAAATCTTGTTAGGTTTCTGATTTTAGCCAAATCTACACACTTAATGATGGTGAGAACATGTGTTTTACTGACAACATTTATGGACTTTATGTAAGGCTGTCATTTTTCATGTGTCTGCCTTATATATGAATGAAAACATGCAGAATGTGATTGTTATCTAGCAAATACGAAATTATTCTGTTCCCTAACTTTTCCTCTTTTCAGTTTTATGGTTTTGTATAATTTTTTTGTTTTATACTTCTACTGCCCATTGCATGACTTAACAGACTCCTTGACATGCAAATGAGTGGGAATTTCTAGTTAGCTCCCTTGACACAAATGAATATAAGTCTGATCTGCTGGCCCCCGTTAGATATATAGTTGATCAATTATGTTATCTTAGATCGATTCAAATAATGCGCATAGAATAAATTAACAAGCTTCACCGCTGCCGTTCATTTTCTTTTACTGATTATTATGGTATCAGTAGTGGAAAAAATCTCAATAAGTTTTATTGATAACTAATATGTGATGAAAGTTGACATGTATTTCTCGTAGAGTCTTTTCTCAATTACATTGTTTTAGACTTCAATACTCAAATTTAAAACTTCATAGAATTTGAGCCGAATACTACTTTGACAAGGAAACTTAATTTAGTACCTTTCATTTTCTTTTATATATTCTCTCTCCGTTTAGTCAACTTACCTCCTCAAATTTGTGACGAAAGCATCTGAAGTCATTGCACCTTGACAAGTTCCTAACATGATTAACAAACTAAAATTACTCGGCTGTTTCTATTTTTCTTTTTAAATTATACCTTTAAAATAGTTTTCAAGGTATAGTTGGTGTGCGATACACTATTTTATTATTGTTGAGACGCAAAGATCTTATCTTAAATGAATACTTTTTTTTTTCCTTCCTTTTTTGAATATTGAAGTAAAATTCTGATATATATATATATATATATATATATATATATATATTTT